GTGAGCACAATATCTTATTGCCCTGGTAGTGTTATTTCTAACTCCTTGGTTTATGTGTGCTACGGTCGCCGCTTCATGTTGTCTATTAAAGCTTGATTGCGTCTCCCTCAAAGTGTTAACCGTCTGACTAAAAGAGATTGATGCGTCTAATCGTAGATAAGCAACAACACCACCATAGTATCCGTTACATTCTGTTTCGAAATGTCGTAATAGGCGATTCTTTTTTGTCATATCGGAGGGACGTTTTAATGGATCAAGTGACGCTATTTGAGATTGCTTTTGGGTGAGTTCATTTGCATACTCATCAACATCTGTCCCTTCGGTCATTGAGAAACTCCAAAAATCTTCTAGGATGGTGTCCACCACTGCCTCACTTTGTGGCTGATAGTATAATTTCAGCGATATCCACATCTTACGTGCCGTAGGCAAGCTTTCTAGAATATAGTAAACCTCTTCGGGCACAATTTGGAGTAGGGCCGCTCGAATGTTATTGTCAGTTGTTTTTGCTGATTTTTGAGGAGTTCTTGTTGTCTTCAGATCATTTTCATCATTTAACTCGGACAAATCTTCAGAGACATACTTCTCAAGGTTAAGGCCGTACAAGCACATCGTGAATAACCTGCTCCATCTGGCATACGTTGATTTGCTCAGGACAGGTGCGTTTTTGATGCCTTTTAATATTTCGGCAGTCGACATAATTGAAAACTAACTGGTTACGGCTCCAGTTTTGGCTAGGTGGGATGAACAGGACTGGTGTTCAAGCTGTACGACACAAGTGGTACGGATGCTATCTTTGTCGACTCGGAAGATTACTAATTTAAATCAATGTTGTCTCAGCTGGTCAGAGTTTGGTCTCATAATCTGTTGAGATGAAATAATTATTGATCTATTAATTAGAGTAAAATTGCATAAGAAAACTATTACGAACTATTACTATCTTATATACATAATTAGCAGTCCACGAGTGATCTAGTTCTTCAACGACGGTGCAAGTGTCCTCTACTGGTACCCTGATAGAAGTGAGTGATCTGTCTTCCTGCCTCCCGTTTAATGGCGGAAGATCAGCATCATGTGACTGACATCTCTTTCAACCTAACACCACACAAATGTTCTACCTAGCTGGTAAACAATTGTATATTCTAGGTTTCAACACATCACCAATTTGTTTCCCTCTCCCTGGCTCCACATGCTACACTACTTGGATGAAGATTAACAATGTGAAAAGTGCATTTATAACAGGTCTACTGTTTTTGTATGCAAATATACCTCTTTGTGAGTGAGACTATTCTCAACACCTTTCAGTGGTGTTTCCTACGAACCTCCAGCTCTCACTTAGAGTCTGCGGAGCCGAGATTGAGTAACAAAGTCCTCACTTCGACGAGGATTCCCAATCGCTTTCGCTTTCGCTTTCGCGGTCTGTATCGTGTTCATCTCTCAACACGTTCCCTTATCACCATTATCATGAACCTAACCACGATCAGATCAGATGGTAGGGTCGGAACCCTACTCATCACCAACCCTTGATCATGGAGGAGAAGCTATCCAATGAGTTTCCGGAGCGTACCCAGCACCCGATACGGAGATGGTGGATTGGATCAAGTCGACCTCGCCTGTTACAAAGAAGGGAGATGTAGATGAATATGCGCACCTCATGTGGTCCCAGAGTCTAGGCCTTGCCTAGTTAGGGCTGCAGGTTTTTTGAGACTTGTTCCCGCGCACGCAGTTTTCATTGCTACCATTATTTTTTGGGTAGAAGGTTCCGTGGAAAAGGTGGCTGAATTCCACGGGTAAAGACTGACCTGAATGGATATTCATCACGGGCAATATACCAATAATCTTTCAAGAAACATGAGAGATAAGGATCACTGTACAAGGTGTGGCCTGGTCCAGAGAGGAGCCCAATGTGCTAGATCATCTAACACTCAAGTAGTACAATAAAAACACGCTCATCATACCTCTTTGTGGTATTTGCCAATGAATACAGAGCATGAATGTCTTTATGGTCAAAGGAATTATCCATCATGTACAAGGACATTTCTTGTAGGTCATATATAAAGCTGATCACGAGAGGTGTGATGGAATAGAAGTATGAGAAGCTCCTCTCACACCTACAATTATCCAAAAAATAGGACGCACGTGATATTTATGTCACCTACCAAGTGAACAACAACCAACGCTAGATGAACGCCCAACGCCATTGATTGGAGCATAAATACATGATAGTGGCCTAGCTCACATCAGACAGATAATAATATGCAAACACGCTTGCAAGATAGTAGTGAGACTTCTGAGGTCGCAGTCTTGTGCGTGTTGTCCCACCTATACATTAATATGTGTTATGTATAGCTCAGGGCTAGGAAACCCTTTTCTTATCGAGCTAACAGGCAAGTTCTGCAATTGTCAATTGATCTGATCCCAAACGGCGAATGTTTTGACGTTGGAATTGTGTGCTATTCTCTCCTCACCTACATAACGTTAAAACTCAACTCTGTGGGTTTCTCTCGAAAATCTAGGAGTGGCACTTATACTACCTTTAATCATCATCAGATCATTTCAATCAATTGAGGTGCGCTGGACTACAATATTCTGAGATACCCCATCAGGCGATTGCATACATAGCCCGCTATATCGAACTTTTTAATATTCTAGATACTTAAGAATGAAGAAAAGCTGAACATTGCACATTCTTCTTCATAATCACGGTCTATAATAGCCATGAGGATGTATTATAAACTCACAACACCTACTAGACCGAAAATTTACACCGGATTACCACTCACTTTACCAAAACGTAGACACAATCTGGCCTCTACCACTTGAAATGGTGACTCTATGCCCTATCTCTTTAGTATCTAAAACCTTAAAGATAGGCTACTGTGTCGTTTTGGGGCTGTGAAGGTCCCCTTTCATTTCTGCTGGATAGCGAAAAATATTGCGCGCTGTATGCCTGGATCACCAAGACCAAAATTTCCGCCATCATCAGTAGCACAAGAAAATGCGAAATTCCTAACTGAGTGATGAAAAAAGACGCGCCGTGACAAAGGCACAAATTATCAATTTAAAGGGGCTGATTAGCTAGAGGAAACAAAACAGTAAAGTCAGACATGAATATGTGGCGATCTTTTCTTAGCCAACCCTAATAATTATAAAGAGACGCAAGAAGTTGTATGACACATGAAATGATGTCCAAGTCCCGCAGTAGCTTCACAATTTGCTAAGCCAGTCGATTTTTTGCTGTATCAACTGTAAGACATGGAATACCAAAGCTCATGCAGTTTTCATTGGCATATTATCAGCTATACCTCTTTCCGTATCCTGTTTTGTGTGTCATATGTACAATTCTTAGGACAATCCTAAGGGTATTTTTGCCGAGCAAACTCCTATCACCAGATACTCTCTGACGGCCTTCAATAAATCTTTTAAAAATATGTCTGTGGTAGAATTATCTTCGCTTTATTAATACCGAATGGAGATAGATAAATAATCATTGGACCCCAGGAAATGATATTGCAGATGAGACTGCAACGAGTAGCGAAGCTATGAATCATACGAATGACTACTGTTTATCTTTGGTAGGGTCTAGTCGCCGGTCCAACTCGTACTCTTTCGAGGATTCTATAATTCTATAGTCTTTAGTTATATCAGTGCTACATTGTGTTTTTTTCACCCAAAGTCTAATAATATCCCAAAAGAACTATCGCTTTCTACAACAAAACTCAGCATATATGAGATTCTCGAATAAGGCATGGTGACTTCGTATCATATCAACATAATTTCATCTATTATCATGTAAACTTTATCTTTATTTTAGGGTAGAAAAGGCCACTTCAAGCTTCCTTAAATGCAGAATAGCAAAAATGTTACCTTGAGTTCCTTCCGACTTCGGCTCTCTTCATAAAACTTTCCCAATTATGTTGGGCATACAGAAAGAATCAAGTTCTTTGTTGGACTCCTGGAACAAGACGCGATTCCATTAGTATATCTAATCTCAATGTGGACTTGTCAGCAAAACGGCAAAGTGCCTTCTTCTATTTGCATAAATTTACATAATTTCTCTCTCTCTTACCGTCGGCTCTTACGGCCACACAAATCTACAAGCAGCCTCGAAGGAACCCAGTTAGTCATAGTCATAGGCCTCATCTACTTGCAGCTGTAGTTCCTGGGACCTCAGACACGTGCTCGTTCTTGTGTTTACAGCCAACACTTAGCAAATGTTATAGCCATGAACTCTAGATCATAGTGTGCGTCACTTCAGCCTTCGGCCCTCTACTTCTAGGTACGCGATCGAAGCTTTTTTCGCTGTAGGTAACATTTGAGGACTTATATATCGGTTCATTAAGTTTCCCTTCTATACGAGTGGGCCAACGTGTGAGATGGGGTTTAAATCTTGGAAGAGTTATTGAGGTATCAAATTACAGACTAAGGACCTGATCGATTCTCTTTCAAAAATTGGACCCCGTTTAGAGGGCCGGCATTTAATTTTCATAATTTACAATCTGGTCAATGGCAAAAATCTACCTATTCAGAAAAAGCAGTCTGAAAGGGCCCTAGAATTGGAACTGCATCAGTCAGAGCTAGAATCTAAGAACTTGACGGGGTGGCTTGGGCTTGAGCATTTTCTCGCCGATTACGTAACTGAGGCTTTTTAAGTATTTTTATTGGTAGTAGTCCGGCATGAAATGTGAGACTACACCATCGTTCGTCAGAGAATTTTGAAAAGGCAACAACAAAACGTGTGAAAATTGGACGAGCTTTTGCTAGATTTCAAAAATAATTTACGAAAATTTATTTAGCAGAGTTAGTCTAATCAAGAATTACAGACTACCCATTTAGTGATTTGTCGTCAGCCTTGTATTGACGATTTTCTTAAGCACCTGATGTGTCCAAAATATATAAATTGCGCCGAGATAGGGGATTCGTAAGAACATCGTCAGTAACATTTGCCAGGTCATCTACAAAATATAAGTAAAAATTACAATTCATCTGCGACGATGACGACTTTAACTACTGCCGAAGTACACGTTTGAAGAGATGGGAAAGAAGTCATTGGTCGCATGGCTGAAAAGACTATTTCGTTTTCCAATGGATAAATCTTGTTCACAGTGAAGATCAAGGATTCTAGAGCTCTCTTCGGGACCCGTGAAAGCTTCAAAAAACAAGTCATCTCCGGAGCCTGATAGTGCTGACATTTCAGAAGCACTCAATGGAAAATCTACGTCGCTTGAGGGGCCTAGTTCCATTGAAAAGTATTTGTGGCTGGATCTGGGGCTTGACTTAGATTCGCACATCATCGGCGAAGAGGGAAAGTTATTAGTATTGGTTAAATGTTTGCTCCGCGGATGAGGATTTAGGACGTTCGAACTTTCTAAGCTTATTTCAGGGTACGATCCCTGCGTGCTCACTGGTCTTTTAGAAGTGGATGCTTCGAGGAACGCGGAGGAGCCGTAGGAACAGGTTTCAGACGTTCGGGTTGGTTGGTAGTGGAAACTCGAAGTTTGGATCGACAGTGGAGCTTGGTAGTACTCAAAATCAGCGTAAGTTTTATTATCCGGCATTTCATCCAAGTCACTACGTGGTGAGGGGGCATCTCCACTTTCAGAACATCCAGATGTGGATGAAGCTCCAGATGTTAGGTGATTCTTCCTCAGTGTACGTGCTGATTTTTCCAGTCTTTCATCATCATTCGGGCGGTACTTCCGAGGCCGGCCGCGTTTTGCAACTTTCTTGACCACACCCTCGAAGGCTCCTATACACATGCCCCTCTGTCTGTGACGCGTAAGGGCATCGTGGCGCGCAAAGCTATTTCCACACTGGCAAGGATATGGTTTCACACCACTGTGAATTTTAGCGTGTCTCTTGAGATCATGTTGTCTAACAAAGCATTTCTTGCAATATGGACATTGGAACTGACGGTCGCCAAGATGAGTCTGCACGTGGGATTTGATATTTTCTTTCCTTCCAAAACGCTTATTACATTCGGGGTACATGCACAACCATTTACCACCGTCAAGGGGATCGGGTCCAGATATAAATCTAGTTATATCGTCGATTGTGACGCCAGTTTCCGTAATCGCTTCTTCGATATTGAGTGTTGAGGAAGACTGGGACTTACGATGAGCGGATTTCCTTCGCGATTGTATTGATTGAGAGGAAGATTGCGCTGGGGGTCCTGTACATGTTTTAATGCTCGAATCAGTTTCTCGTACTGTTTGATATGAATTCTGTGCTTCTTCAGGAGAAGAAAGATATCCGGTAAGAATTGGTGAGATATTCGTTGAGTTTGAAGAGATATTTGATCCATGGCAAAACTGATCATTGGTTTTCAAATCTGAATTGAGAGAGGTGAGGCTAACATTGTTTTCCGTAGGAATCGGAGCCTGTGTCGACTGGAGCGAGCTCTTCTCGATGACAGGCCCAGATTGGGGTTGATTCGCATTTTGTTTCATTTCGATTTCATTTCTCATGTCATCAAATATTCCACGTGATCTCTGGGAGACGCTGGGTTTGATGGTCTCCTCCATTGATGTGTCAAAGCCATCCATGAATCTGGCATTCATGTAGCTCTGCTTCATCATATGGGTACGTGGAGTATCAGTTGGGGTAGGCGGGTAATAGCCTGTTTCTGTCAGCGTTCGGGAGAGGTCAGAAAATAAGGAGTACTAACCCGGTATATTGTGGTTAGATGGCGTTAAGGGTCTCTGTGGTGATAGCAGAGCCAAGTTTTCGAACTGGGAAACTTGGTGAAGGATCCCATCACTTATTCGTCGGCTCACCGAGCTTCGTCTACTGTAAGTCTCATTTTCCAAGTTATGGTTGTTGTTACCGTTGCCAAAGCTTGAAGATAACTCTAGATATGAGGGCGACGGTGCTAGAGATGAATCCTGTGAAAAGGGATAAAAGTCGGTATTTGAATGGTATTCATTAGGGGTGAAGTCGATCTGCGGGTGGATAGTCCCGAAATATGCAGCTTCGTGCAAATTTTCTCCATACTGATGAAGGAAACTAGGATCAGTAGGGTGTCTGTGAGGAGTGACAACTGGTGAATTGAGGTAATTGTGGTCATCCCCAAATTGAACGTTTGGAACGCCCGGGCGTACCAGTCTCTGCTGCTGCGTCTCTCGCAATAAATGCTGTGGTGTTGTAAATCCTGGATTTATAGAACATACCAATCGGTCCTGTGGAGGTGTTTGTCGTCGTCTTTGATCCAAGCTCATTCCACGTCGGTGGCCATGATTTCTTTGGATATTCGGCAGATCTGATATCTTCACAGAATCAAAAGCTGTTGGCGTTGATTGTTGGCGTCTATGTTGTCGTTGTCGGCTATGAAGGGCGTTGGTTGGATTGGACAGCATGATATGCTAGAAGAGTTCGGAAAAGTTGTTGTTGAAAGTTGTACAGTAAAGTAAACTTGTAGGTTCCGAGACTAGTTTTCAAGTAAGAGACGTTTCGCAAAGATTGGCTTCATAGACTTCAAACTGTAACTATGGTAATCATTGCTGAGATATCCATGACATTGTGCACACCTCGTATGCTGGAAAGAAAGTTGAAGTTGCTTACCTCACGCAGCGCAAGCCGTTAGGCCGGGCAAACTTGGTGTTTAGGTCTCACCAGACAAGAGAGTGGAGAACTTTAGAAAATGTGTAGTTCGACCCTCCTTGAGGGGGTATGGTGATTTCTGCAAACTTTTACAGTAGCTAGCTTTATCAGAGAAGAATGTTCTATTGGTTTGTTGTGTAAATTGTTAGAGAAATTTTTTATATTACTGTGAGAGCAATAGAGTGGTTATCAAACTTATTAAAGTCATTTTTGCCCATAGTGTGCAGGACGATGCCAAAGTCAACAAAAAGATATGGTCGTTGCGATAGCAACCGTTTACCAAAGAAAAATAATCCCTGGTCTTAGCTGGCCCCTTGAGACTCCACATTCAAATCATCATCTCCGCATCTCGATCCATATTTACGGATATTTCTCCACAACCAAGAGTCATCCTTCTGATAGAAAAGAAGCTGTCGCACTAACTGGAGTAATTTGCGATCTATATTGAGAAGCTTTATCCACCATGTCCACATCCGGGACCATGAGGGGTACTCCAAACCGCACACCAGCTCGAGGAACATTACCAGTCTTTACCGGCTCGGCAAGTTCATCGCCATCTCATAATTCCCGACCATCTGTAGACTCTTATCAAACCGGCATGTTCGACTTAGGAGGCTCAACAATGAGTGCCAGCAGACAAAAACAGACTAAAAGAGATGAGGTAACTTGGTAATGTTTGTCCCAGTTGACTTGATCACTGACGATCGGATACCAGGCGATACGAAGGAAAATCGAGACGGACTTGAGCAAAAAAAAGCATACATCTGGTAGAGCTCGACCAACACGCAAGGCGCCTGCAGGAACAGTTCTAGCTCTTCGTCCGAGTCAAGCCCTTCAAATGAAACCCAATACAATTGTATCGGAAGCTGCCCAACTAATGGCTGCAAAGAGAGAAGACTGTGTACTTGTTACCGACAACAATGACCGGATCGCAGGTATCTTCACAGCAAAAGATCTTGCATTCAGAGTCGTCGGTGCAGGAATAAAAGCCAGTAACGTCACTATCGCGGAGATTATGACCAAAAACCCACTATGCGCAAGGACAGACACAAGTGCTACTGATGCTCTGGATTTAATGGTACGAAAGGGCTTTCGCCACCTTCCTGTGATGGACGAAAATCAAGACATATCAGGTATACTCGACATTACTAAATGCTTTTACGATGCGATGGAGAAGCTTGAGAGAGCATACAGCTCGTCGAGAAAACTTTATGACGCTTTGGAAGGTGTGCAATCAGAACTCGGGTCAAGCCAGCCACAGCAAATCATTCAGTATGTCGAAGCTCTTCGTTCTAAAATGTCTGGGCCTACTCTAGAATCTGTGCTCGATAATACCCCGCCCACAACTGTATCTGTTCGTACATCCGTCAAAGAGGCTGCAGCCCTCATGAGGGAGAATCACACAACTGCGGTACTTGTTCAAGATCAGGGATCTATCACTGGAATTTTCACCAGTAAGGATATCGTGCTACGTGTAATTGCACCAGGGTTAGACCCAGCGAATTGTAGCGTTGTTCGTGTCATGACACCCCACCCTGATTTTGCCCCCAAGTCAATGAGCATCCAAGCAGCACTTAGAAAAATGCATGGTACGAACAATCGATTAAATCACATACTTGTATTGCTAATCGATTCTAGATGGTCATTACCTCAACCTTCCAGTTATGAACGATGGCGGAGAGATTGTTGGTATGGTAGATGTTCTAAAGCTTACTTATGCCACTCTAGAACAAATCAACAGCATGTCTACAGGTGACAGCGAAGGGCCTGCATGGAACAAATTTTGGCTATCTCTCGACAATGACACTGAATCTGTCATGTCCGGAGACGGAAGCGTCCACTACACTGCAGGCACTAGATCTCACATAAGATCGCCAGAGATGTCACGAGGCTTGGAACGAACAGTTGATCCAAGCGTTGCCCCTGGCGACTCTGCTTCACACTTGGGTGCTGAATCAGGTGAAGTTCCAGAGATAAACTTACCAGCTGAAGAAGTCCCCTTCCCATTTAAATTCAAAGCTCCAAGTGGACGTGTTCATCGGATTAAGGTTATTGCAGCACTAGGCGTTTCTGAACTTGTTGCTGCTGTTACTGCCAAGCTTGGTATGGAGATTGGGATGATAGGTGGTCCTCCGGCAGTTGAAAACGGCAAACTAGCGAATTCTGGATTCGCTCTTAGTTATTTGGATGATGACGGGGACTCTGTTTCCATAACTACCGATCAAGATCTCTTAGAGGCTATTTCACTGGCCCGCCAAGGCCAGCGCGATAAGGTCGACCTATTTGTCTATGACTCAGAGAAGCCACCTTACAGTTGTACGCCAGACCTGAACTCCATGGGCCCTCAAGAAAAAATCAAACTGCCACCAACTGTTCCAGAGGAGGCTACCTCCGAGGAAGATGAGGAGCCAGTTGCAGCTAAAGCGCGCAAGACACAATCTAACCAATCCTCTCTGCAAGCCATACCCGGAGTTCCCAACGAGTTATTACTACCAGGGGCCATTTTTACTCTTGCGATAGTAATTGTGGGGGTATTTACTCTCACCAGAGTAACCAATCGTCATTAGCCTTGACATTTTTCACATAGACATCATTTAAATCCCTAAGAATTGCTCCTCAGGGATTTTAATCGTTAACAAGCCAACGTTGACGCCGGAGATTTTACTACGTAATAGTGCTAGAACGTTTAATTATTAGCGCAAATCCATTAACTCATCTCGGCATAGCTTTGTAGCCTAAATGCCGGACATAATTATCCCACACTATGTAAGTGTTTTTGTATACAGAGGAACAAGATAGAATAGGTAGGAGTCTAGTGGTATAGTACATTGGTCACTTGATGGCAATTACCCTCCGAATAGCTGATGGAGATTTCGATGTATCTACTGGCTGGAGTAGAGCCTGTGTCTAGGATTTGATACCGTTTGCCTACAAAGAGTCAGCAAATCCCTTCAAACTCATTTAGCATGACACGATCCAAGGCTAAATCCTTCAATTAATGTTTCGCACAAGTGATCACTCATGTGACTAATCATCATTTGCAGACATTTCAAACCCAGTAGGGGCCAGATGGTGCAGTGGTACACCGTCCAGGCTATTATCCCAAGTAGAGCCCAGGTAGCATGGAAACACGCCCCACTTAGAGTGGGCGAAAGCTAAAAAGACTCCAGCAAGTCTAGTAAAGAACATTCTATCGCAGGGGTAATGTGATTGCCATGTGGTGAAGGTACACTGGGACAACCATGAGAACTTTAAGATTTTCCCTGTGATGGGTACTCACGGGAGACGTTACATGCCGGGAGATTCCAACTTTGGAGGTTCTTGAAAATGAAATCAAATCATGGATTTTCCGAATATCGAAAGAATACATTCTGCAAAAGTAATGTCTTTCATTGACACCTGCACAAGCCATCAAGGAGTCAAATCAGGATAATTGAAAATCCCAATTTGAATGGAATCCCGTTCGTTGTCGCGCACCCGAAATTATTGCTAGTCATTCAATCGAAACTAGCACTGACAGTAGTCGATTGTCTTGGACAAGAGCTGTAGATGAAAAATCCCCCCAAGTCTTAAACCCTCCATTCTCCTAAAGAACTACGTCCGAACAGTAAATTCCTTGGTCTGTAACTGGATAGACCCTTGAGGTTGTTATTATTTGCGCCAGCACCGAGCCAGGTAATATATGCCATAAAACTCTATCAACCGTAAAGATGGCTTCGATGAGGCTGGTGGCAGCGTCCCACAGGATGTGAATAGGGCCTAGATGATTTAGGTGATAAGTTCACTGATGAGAAAGAGATTACATGAATGACAAGTCCTCTTTGGGAATGTGTAAATAGACAAATCGTTGCGACAGAGTTTATCCAAGGATACTTCCTGGGAGTTAATGAGCAGACAGGGGGACTGTTCTTAACACCTGTCGGTAGTGTCCCACATAAACTTCCAGCTCTCACTGTAAAGCCTGTAAAGCCGAGTTCGGGTAAATCCCTTGTCCTCATTTCGGTAACAATATAATGCGCGAAAGCGATATATATCGTCTTTATATCTCACCGCATCCCCCTGTCACTATTAGCATGGAGCTAACCACGATCAGATCAGACAGTAGGGTCGGAGCCCTACTCATCACCAACCCTTGATCATGGAGGAGAAGCTATCCAATGAGTTTCCGGACCGTACCCAGCACCCGATACGGAGATGGTGGATTGGATCAAGTCGACCTCGACTGTTACAAAGAAGGGAGATGTAGATGAATATGCGCACCTCATGTGGTCCCGGCGTCTAGGCCTTGCCTGGCTCGGGTTGCAGGTTTTTTGAGACTTTTTCCAGCGCACGCAGTTTCTAATGCTACTTTAATTTTATTTTTATTTTTCTGGGTAGAAGGTTCCGTGGAAAAAGTGGCCGAGTTCCACGGGTAAACACTGAGGTGAATGGCTATTCATCACGGGTAATATACCAATGATCTTTCAAGAAACATGAGAGACAAGGATCACTGTACAAGGTGTGGCCTGGGCCAGAGAGGAGCCCAATGTGCTAGATAGTCTAAGACTCAAGTAGTACAATAAACAACACTCAAATTGATGCCGTAATGTGACTAAGCCAAAATTCTTCATACCAAATTTGGTGGTAGAGAGTGAAGTAGGATAATTAATAATGGAATCCCTCCTGGCTGGCGTTTCAATAAATCACACCTCGAGAGACTCTTGGATGAGGGCTTGGGATTTGAGGTGGAAACCACTTACAGGCGTGATGTTGCGTCCCCCCGAACAAGACTTTTTCAACACTCTGGTAATATTAGCATTAGCCATCTGCAGGATAAAAGTAGTGACTCTGATAAGGCTTCACCATTCCCTCATAAGCCATACACTACATACAAGGGGTCGGGTGGCCAGTCCCAGATGTTTACGCACAATAGGTCATTCCAACGGCTAACCGCTGCACTATATAGCCTAATAAACGCAGAACAGTCAATGTCTGGGCCTCTTAGATGTCAAAGTTTAAAGCCACACTGCGACTGGCTAAACGCAGACCAAACATCGGTTTGGTGATGGTCAAATCGGGCGCCTTTACACCTCCAGTATACAAATTAAATATTCATAGGCAGCCTATACACACCAGTTACCGACGCAGTGTGGCCCCGAAGCTGGAAGCTGGTCTGCTCGAAGTTCTCACGGAAATAAATTATGTTATCGAAAACAACATCGGTACGACATGGTACGAATTTTACTCAAAAAATTAGTCTGATTGTTAATCTCTTTCAGGCCGTAGCCTTTTAGTTGGTCCCGTGCAAAAATATTGCTATCGTTCACTCATGACAGAAAGTGAAGCTACGCATGTCCCAGCGCAGAGTGATCCTCCAGCATTAGATACCCCACCCAAGACCTCGTATTCTCAATTGAAACTAGCTAGTCGGTGGGCACCTGCTTCTAAAAGGAAAGGCCCGAGTAATTATGTGGTACTTAAGACTGCCGCAATAAAAACTACCACCAAGAAAACAACTGCTAGCTTGGGTGCCGTTATATCACATCAATACCATCCTAACGAAGCAATATGGAATCCTCCAAAGCCAGAGGATGTCACATTAGAAATGCTGATGGCAGCTCAGACACATCTCGGTCATCACACGAGCCTTTGGAATCCAATGAACCAACAATACATTTATGGCATAAGGCAAGGTGTGCACATCATATCGCTTGAAGCTACCGCTGCGTACCTAAGAAGAGCAGCCAAGATTGTCGAGGCTGTATGCTACCATGGCGGTATCGTATTGTTCGTCGGGACAAAAAAAGGCCATAGATCCGCCGTAGTAAAAGCCTCTGAACTTACAATGGGCTGTCATATTTTCGAGCGCTGGCAGCCGGGCACCATCACAAATGGCGATCAGATCCTGAGGTCGTGCAGAATCAAAGTATTAGATTCTCTCGATCGGCCAATTGAAGTTGATGAGGATAAACTTGAGGGTCTTAAAGCCTTGAGACCTGATCTAGTTGTATGTTTGAATCCTCTCGAAAATTATATTATGCTCCATGAGTGTGGAACAAATAACATTCCTACAATCGGAGTAATCGACACTAATGCCGATCCCTCCTGGGTTACTTATCCCATACCCGCCAATGATGACAGGTATGTTTACTCAGGCCTAATTAGCAGGCAAATGACTGATTAGATGGCCTATAGTGTCCGGTCAGCACAAGTTATTTCTGGTGTTCTCGGTCGTGCTGGTGAGGCAGGAAGAATGCGCCGCCTTACAGAAGCAAAAACTGGTAAAATTTCGTGGTCACCTTCATCGGAGATTTCCAAGCTGCTCGATAAAGCTCCAGATAAAACTGATAATGTCATCAACATCCAGGGCCAGAAGGCTAACTCAACAAATCAAGTCAAGGACACTTTTGTGGAACCAATTAGGGATCCAGAGTGGCGAATAAAAATGAAAGATGATAACGATGAATTATAACCTAGTAGGTAAATAAAAATGGTGTTTGGGTCTTGTAAATATGGGTTCAAAAAGTTGGCATTCTGGATTCAACTAGGTTAATTGATTTAGAGATACAGGAAAATCGATAAGAAATTAGGTTTACACTGTCGATGCCATAACGCATATTAAACAACTAATTATTTAATTCCTATTCCTCGGCTACACACTAATTTAGGCCCAGAATTGAAATGAAGGCTTCTCATATGACATTTATCGATATTGCGGATAAAAAGCATGGGTTTACTGCAGCAGAAAGAGTAGTTGATTCAGATTACTTTATAATCACTGGCGTGGCAATTACACCATCCATTTTTCTGCCCAAGGTTTTGACTCAACCCTAGTCTTTGTGGAACAAATGGTTAGACGATTGACAGTGGAAATTCTTCTAGAAGAAAAAGCTATTACTCAACATACATGGCATCGAAGTCTTCAGAAACAGCAAATTATTCTGGAAGCGATCGAAGTTATTGTGTATAACTTCCGCACAAAAGCCCAACTCTGACGCCGATGGTGACTCGCAGGAAAAACGTAATCGTAAATCTAAGCTACAATCATAATTTTTAAAAAAAAAGAAAGATAACTTGGAAAAGAATAGAATGTACAAGGTTTCATTTGTAACAATTGCTGTTAAATTAGATTTAAGGCTCTTGAATACAGCCCTTTCAGACATCGTGTTTCTCCAACAATCTAGCAAAGAAAACCTATTGGGCAGTAGCCATCTTAACTGAAAGTGCATTGAATACTTAACATAAACGACGTCTTCCAAGTGTTTCTAAAAATCCGATGAGGATAATTTTCATTACCCAATCAGTTCTATTAATTTGAATCCTTTGACCAAATTATGATGAAGAGGCATGAAAGATTACGGAAAACAGGCCCAAGAAATGTTCCGTGCCTTTCCAGTTCCGCAGGATTTGGCTCTCGGTAGCTTTATTGCTGAATTATAGAAACAGCTATAGATTCTTTGCAGTAATTGCTCCTCCTCTGACCGCTGAAAAGGGTTTTTCCATCGTCGACTCATTTCAAAAATACTTGGTATTTTTGTGACGTTTTAATGGCGTCGAGATGTGGCGAGAGTAGTTGTTAGTACACAGAGATAACTTATCTCTAGATTTGAGTTTATTTGTTTTTTTTTTTATTTACATTCAGTCCTAAGCTAAAGCTATGTTTTCCACATTGGGTCAAGGACCGGCGGATCCGGCAGGGTTCCCTGTACCTTTTCCTACAGCCTAACTCGTTCCAACCTCGTGAATCGCTACCAAAAGTGCAGCTGATTGAACAAGAACGAAAAGTCAGAAAAATCAAAACAACTCCAAATACCAGAAGATTCCTCCATATTGAACCCAGTAAATGCGCTCCTCACACATTCCCTCGTCCGTCACACCTTCCAAATGACAAAATTTATTCAATCTCCGCTGAGAGCAAGAGATGAGTTAGCAGGCACCTTTGATCCAGCCGGTATCCTGCTAATTGTTAGTAGATGCCCCAAAAGGGGACATTGTCGAGGTTGCTGTGTCCTCAAACTTCTTCTTCAGATCCCAGAGCTCCGAAACCTGTAGCCTCGGCCGTCGAGACATCCTTCGCCGCGGCGATGATCGCCGCTTCGGCCTTTTTTGCTGCAGCCCTGGCTCGTGCCACCTTCGAGAACTCCCCTTGTTCGATGTGGCGAATCCACGCGAGCTGCTCTTTGGTCACCGGTCCCCCACAGTTGCGACAGCGTGTGAGGGCCTTGCACTCTGTTTCGGAGTGCATATTTGATCCGCAGTTCCAGCAAGCCGGAGCGCGGAAGCAACCACGAGTGGCGTGGAAGCCCAAACACCGTTTGCACTGTTCAATTGATCGACGAGGCTTAAGGATGGTAGCCATACCCGAATCGTTGAAAAGGCGGAAGCCCGCACGAGGGGCTTCGTCCCGGTGAAAAAGGGCATGCCAGTTTCGATAAGGCGATCCAGGCCGACATGTCCCATGAGGTCGGACCTGGATTGGATACGCGCTGGTCGTAAGGAAGATCTCAGCGGTGACACTTGCAGCATCGGTCGCTACGGGGCCGTACTGTGAAACGATACTTACAGGTACATTCGGTATCTGTAAGGCGACAAGATCCGAAGATGCTTCGAGTTTGGCGTTTTCACTTGCCAGCTTCGGAGAGACATCTAGGATCTCTTGTCGTATTTTTTCGTTCTTTGCTATAATAGCAAAGCCGGTCTTTACTCGATGAATCGAGGTTATATCATTGTAAGAGAGATTAAGCGTGTCCGCTACCTTACTTTTGACAATGTTGTTTGAAAGATTCCGCCATGGGTACTCCTTTTCCAGGCGAAGGAACAGTCGCTTATCGACTTTCGCCTTGGGAGCTTCTTTCTTTTGGGCTCTCGCCGCAGGTCGCGGCACAGCCTTTGCTATAGGTTCTGCATTTTGTCGCAGTCCATTTTTGGCCACCGTGGCCCAGGTGCTTTTTACAGGCAGCACTGGGACGGCGGGAGTTGTATTGCTCCTGGCTTCTGGAGTCCTTGGGGTCGGGTTCGCAGGGCGAGGAGGGAGGACGGGTGGCGTGATGGCCGGGCCCGTGGCCATGTATTGCGCAATGGCGGCGCGTAAGTAGACTCTCATCGAGTCTACGAATTGTCTATTTGACCCGTTGGTCAAAGGGAGGAGGGTGGCTTCGACGCCAGAGATGGCGGCGGAACAGAGGGCCAGATTTGCCGCTGTTTCGGCGGCGCGTCGTTGTTCAGCTTCGAAAATTGGTCGAAGCTCTAGGGGACACTCTGCTATTGTGGCAGCTTTTGGCTGCGACGTTCATTTTGGCGCTGTTTTGACTGCAGCGTTTTCCGACGGTCTTGACGCTATCGGAGGAGATTTTGACGATTCTCCAGTCCCGTGAGGGACGGAGGATGGTTGGGGAAATTCCTCAACAATTTCAACTGACCCGATCATGTCAGTATCGGGCTCAGTGACGGCGGGGAGGGCTTTTTCCTTCCCTTTAGTTGAGACCTTGCTCATCTCCGCGCATTTCGGAGACTGGACAAGGTCAGGTAATTTTTCGAGAGCCCTCGGGCGGACTCGCGTGTTGTCCAACTTGGCGTTGGGACGCTTTTTTCGAACAGGTGGCATGGTGAAAATGCCAGTGACTCGATCACAATTTTTTGATATAATGCGACGAGCGCGTGAGAGAGGGAGACGGGAAAAACGTGAAGATTCGAAAATTCGAATTTCAAAAAAATTGGTTTGTTTGTTCATTAACGTGCTAGGTGAAGTAACTACCGTCGCACTCCTACTGGAGCTTGAGCACGAGTGGGGTCGGGCCGGATCAGGTTAACTACCGTAAAGTATAAGTGCCTCGTCCCACCTCAATGACCGGAACCATGTCGAAACGCTTCTATGTGTTGAACCATGACGAATTCGGCAGCCCAGAATTGAAAACAAAACAAAAACTTTCCCGCGAAATCCCGCATTTCAAAAGAAAAACTTCAACAATCTCCCTTCCATCGTTCCGCCTCGTCCACCACGCGCCTGAGCCTCGATTCCAATCTCTCTGTCCGGATTTGAGTTTGGAATATTACTTGGGCCATTTTTGTTTATTATTTAACGTCTAGCTAATGATTATAATACACTAGTCCCAAATTGGAAAAGGTCGTGAACTTGTTGAGGCCAGTCAACTCCAATTTAGTGGATGCTGTTTACGATGTATCACGCTATAACACTTATTTAAAACTCGCGCTGGGCATCGAGAAAGTAGAGCCATTGGGACACGAATGTATGGAAATTAAAGTAGACCAGACAGTATAAAGATGAGCCGATGAACACCATGGAATGATATGGTTAGGTCACAAACTGACTGCACGGAGCAGACTTGGAAGACTGAGAGCTTCACTCAGATGCACACGGGTCTACTGCACCCGTTCGGCAGACTTCTTCGAACAATTCAGGAGGGTAACTGTATCTTTTGACCTGGCCTACCCAATGGCATGGCCATATTTCACCTGCTGCTACAGACTTGCAAATTGACATCGTTTGGTCGGCTGAAAAGGGAAGATAATGAATGGCAAAAGGCTCCTCTTAGTGTATGATCGATGAATGTTTATGGGGCAGCAATGTTTGATGGAACTGTATAAAAGGTATAGGAGGGGTCATATTAATTGTGTAGGTATCCTTGGTCTATAGGTATAAAGAAACTTTATGTACCGTATGGCTTTAGACCGAAAAGAACATTAATGGCCTCATATAATGACACAATGTGTCTACGTCACATAGGCTACATAGCCAATTTTGTACTAATTAGTAGTGTTGCTACCTACAACCTATGCTGAGTGTTATGGCTAGATAGGCTTCATACACTTTTTGATTTTTTTTTTAAAAAACCCTATGCTGGCTCGAAGTTGAGCTCGGCGGCCCCGCAGAATTCCTTTGCTTTGGCCTTAGGTGACCAGTCGACTTTGCTCCCAAGCCTATCAAATACTCTTGATTCTGGTTGATTCTAGCATATTGTAGAACCTACTGAGAATGAAGTCTACTTCTGCAAAGCGCATCGGAGTCGTCGCTAGTTCGGCGGGAGAATTAGGTGTAGGTAATTCGATTAACTTTGTTGGTGTTGGAATTACTACTTTGTGGTTTCACGATCGATCGTAATGATTCGGTAAAGAGTTGTACGATTCTTTTTTTTTTTGTTTTTTTATATTAAAGTCCTAAGCTAAAGCTCTAGGTCCAATATAGGTACAAGACTGGTGGAGCCGGCGAGGATCACTGCTAACAGGCCCAACTCATTCCAACCGCGAGACCCGCTACAGAAAAAGTAGGTAAATTATAACTCAGAAGACACCACCTACTCCGACTCCGAAATCGAGACTCCATCCTTCAAACCTAAATCCAAGTACATAAGAATTTTCTCAAAGAAACGACACTTCTCGCATCGATCCCTTTTGTGTCATGCGTTGTGGCAATGACTAGATTGTCTGATCCCCGCTGAGAGCAGTGGATGAGTG